AAGCCCCCCTTGGGCCAAAAACATAAGCTCTCCTGAGTTGGGGTCTTCACTGACCAGCTTCTAGGAGAAGCCATGTGCTCCTTGACTGTGGGATGTCTCAGCACAAGGACATTTTCCCAGTCATTCCTTCCTCCGTTTGTTCAGCTGGCAGATATCCACACATGCCAGCTGGTGCTGGCACTGGGTCTGCAGTGAGGGACCAGGCCTTCTCCACAGAGGCCCAGTCCCATGTGCTGGGGAGGCTGCCCTGGGGTGATTCCAGCTGTGAGCTGGCACAGGTGCCCAGCCGCTCAGATATGACCAGGGTGGTGTCATTGTCTCCTGGGGGTCAGGAGGCCTGATGGAGGAGGAGACCCTGGGGGATGAGGCAGGGGGAGAATATCATTTCCCTGTGGGCCTCAGCAAATACTTGTTGGGCTCCTGCAGTACGGCAGGCCTGGAGGTTGGTGCTGGGGACACAGCAATGAATAAGAGACCCCATCGCTGCCCTCAAGGATTCACAGGGCAGCCGGCCCAGCCAGAGCACAGGCTCCCCTCGGCCTCCTGCTTTCTCCTTGTCTGTCTGCTCTGTTCATCCATCTGCCTGTCCAACTGTCTGTCCATTTCTGTTGCGCTGATCCCATCTAGAAATTCAATTGATTTCTCTGGAGCCTTGGCCTCCACCCACCCAAGCAGGGCTCAGTCCCCTGGGGGGTTTAGGTTCTGTTTCCACTCTGACTACTCACCCCTCTTGGTGGGGATGGTGTGGCGGTCCAGTGAATCCTGCCTAGATCCCAGGTAAAGTCCAAGTTCAGAGGCCAAGGATTTGGCACTAGTTTGGAGAAACTACAACAGCAAAAACAGTGCCCTGGCTGGGCCCGGGAACCTGAGTCCTCCCTGCTCCGTGCCTGGTCCCTACATATGCCCTTGCACTCCCCACCTCCCAGCCCACTCTTGGTTGACCTTACCCCTACCTTGCCCTGCCTCAACCATCAGAGATTAACGCTCCAGCCTGGCCCTCCCCGTTCAGTTTGCTGGTTCAGAGCAGCAGACAGCCACACCCCAAGTCCCTCTCACACCCTTGCCTGGTGAACCTGTGAAGACCTGTTCTAAGCAAGCCGTGCACAGACACAGATCCCCTGATACACACTCACACACACACATACATCCACACAGACACATGTGGTCCATGGATATATGCACTCCTGTGACACACAGTCCACAGAGACACAGATCCCTGACGTGCACAGACACAGATCCCCTGATACACACTCACACACACACATACATCCACACAGACACATGTGGTCCATGGATATATGCACTCCTGTGACACACAGTCCACAGAGACACAGATCCCTGACGTGCACAGACACAGATCCCCTGATACACACTCACACACACACATACATCCACACAGACACATGTGGTCCATGGATATATGCACTCCTGTGACACACAGTCCACAGAGACACAGATCCCTGACGTGCACAGACACAGATCCCCTGATACACACTCACACACACACATACATCCACACAGACACATGTGGTCCATGGATATATGCACTCCTGTGACACACAGTCCACAGAGACACAGATCCCTGACGTGCACAGACACAGATCCCCTGATACACACTCACACACACACATACATCCACACAGACACATGTGGTCCATGGATATATGCACTCCTGTGACACACAGTCCACAGAGACACAGATCCCTGACGTGCACAGACACAGATCCCCTGATACACACTCACACACACACATACATCCACACAGACACATGTGGTCCATGGATATATGCACTCCTGTGACACACAGTCCACAGAGACACAGATCCCTGACGTGCACAGACACAGATCCCCTGATACACACTCACACACACACATACATCCACACAGACACATGTGGTCCATGGATATATGCACTCCTGTGACACACAGTCCACAGAGACACAGATCCCTGACGTGCACAGACACAGATCCCCTGATACACACTCACACACACACATACATCCACACAGACACATGTGGTCCATGGATATATGCACTCCTGTGACACACAGTCCACAGAGACACAGATCCCTGACGTGCACAGACACAGATCCCCTGATACACACTCACACACACACATACATCCACACAGACACATGTGGTCCATGGATATATGCACTCCTGTGACACACAGTCCACAGAGACACAGATCCCTGACGTGCACAGACACAGATCCCCTGATACACACTCACACACACACATACATCCACACAGACACATGTGGTCCATGGATATATGCACTCCTGTGACACACAGTCCACAGAGACACAGATCCCTGACGTGCACAGACACAGATCCCCTGATACACACTCACACACACACATACATCCACACAGACACATGTGGTCCATGGATATATGCACTCCTGTGACACACAGTCCACAGAGACACAGATCCCTGACGTGCACAGACACAGATCCCCTGATACACACTCACACACACACATACATCCACACAGACACATGTGGTCCATGGATATATGCACTCCTGTGACACACAGTCCACAGAGACACAGATCCCTGACGTGCACAGACACAGATCCCCTGATACACACTCACACACACACATACATCCACACAGACACATGTGGTCCATGGATATATGCACTCCTGTGACACACAGTCCACAGAGACACAGATCCCTGACGTGCACAGACACAGATCCCCTGATACACACTCACACACACACATACATCCACACAGACACATGTGGTCCATGGATATATGCACTCCTGTGACACACAGTCCACAGAGACACAGATCCCTGACGTGCACAGACACAGATCCCCTGATACACACTCACACACACACATACATCCACACAGACACATGTGGTCCATGGATATATGCACTCCTGTGACACACAGTCCACAGAGACACAGATCCCTGACGTGCACAGACACAGATCCCCTGATACACACTCACACACACACATACATCCACACAGACACATGTGGTCCATGGATATATGCACTCCTGTGACACACAGTCCACAGAGACACAGATCCCTGACGTGCACAGACACAGATCCCCTGATACACACTCACACACACACATACATCCACACAGACACATGTGGTCCATGGATATATGCACTCCTGTGACACACAGTCCACAGAGACACAGATCCCTGACGTGCACAGACACAGATCCCCTGATACACACTCACACACACACATACATCCACACAGACACATGTGGTCCATGGATATATGCACTCCTGTGACACACAGTCCACAGAGACACAGATCCCTGACGTGCACAGACACAGATCCCCTGATACACACTCACACACACACATACATCCACACAGACACATGTGGTCCATGGATATATGCACTCCTGTGACACACAGTCCACAGAGACACAGATCCCTGACGTGCACAGACACAGATCCCCTGATACACACTCACACACACACATACATCCACACAGACACATGTGGTCCATGGATATATGCACTCCTGTGACACACAGTCCACAGAGACACAGATCCCTGACGTGCACAGACACAGATCCCCTGATACACACTCACACACACACATACATCCACACAGACACATGTGGTCCATGGATATATGCACTCCTGTGACACACAGTCCACAGAGACACAGATCCCTGACGTGCACAGACACAGATCCCCTGATACACACTCACACACACACATACATCCACACAGACACATGTGGTCCATGGATATATGCACTCCTGTGACACACAGTCCACAGAGACACAGATCCCTGACGTGCACAGACACAGATCCCCTGATACACACTCACACACACACATACATCCACACAGACACATGTGGTCCATGGATATATGCACTCCTGTGACACACAGTCCACAGAGACACAGATCCCTGACGTGCACAGACACAGATCCCCTGATACACACTCACACACACACATACATCCACACAGACACATGTGGTCCATGGATATATGCACTCCTGTGACACACAGTCCACAGAGACACAGATCCCTGACGTGCACAGAC